CCGCCCAATAGCGTATGACCAACACCTGTTGCGAGGTATTCTACCATCTTCAGCTCCGATTGAGGATGGCCCTCGCAACCGCCCTGCACCTGTCTTCTTCTTCTTCTTCTTCTTCTTCTTCTTCTTATCCGCCCTCGGCCGCGCACATGCAGAGCCAAGGAGGGTGACGAGGAGGAGGAGGATGGATTAGGATGGAGGAGGATGGGGGAGGAGGAGGAGGAGGAGGAGGAGGAGGAGGAGGAACCGAAGGAGGAGACGGAGTTGGAGGAGGAGGAGGAGGAGGAGCAGGAGGAATGACCAGAGTAAGCACAAGGTGCACCAGCGGTGCTGAAATACACCCTTCCGTCCCAAGTTCCCTCCCCGCCAGACCATCCAATTTGGCATCTGCTTTCACTACAAGAAGCACCGCCCCACAGAAACCTGCGTAGTTTGGGCCCGTCATTTTGGCGAGAGCCCCGCTTTGAAAGGGAACTGCATCGCATCCTCCTGGCGCGCAGTCAGGAGCGCGAGCAACGATGATCAGACAGTCCAGAGAGTTGTCAAAAGCGAGACCCCCCTTTGCGACTCAGGGTCGCCCCCTTCCATGCAACGTTTGCAGGCGTTTGATATGTGGCCATGATCCCCGAGGATCTCTCAAGGAAGAGATCCATTTTGAAGAAGGCGCTCTGGAGGAGGAGGAGGAGGAGGAGGAGGAGGAAAGGAGAGATGTTGGAGGATGGAGGAGGAGGATGAGGAGGAGGGTGATGGCGAGGGAGGAGGGGGAGGGAGGAGGAGGAGGAGGAGGAGGAGGAGGAGGAGGAGGAGGAGGAGGGGGGAGGAGGGTGGAGGAGGAGGATGAGGATGGGGGAGGAGGATGGGGGAGGAGGATGGAGGAGGAAGAGGAGGAGGAGGAGGAGGAAGAGGAGGAGGAGGATGGGGGAGGAGGATGGGGGAGGAGGATGGGGGAGGAGGATGGAGGTGGAGGAGGAGGGGGAGGATGGGGGAGGAGGCTGGAGGAGGAGGAGGAGGAGGAGATTGAGGAGGAGGAGGAGGCGGAGGAGGAGGAGGAAGAGGAGAGGGGCGAGAGTTTCGTGTTGAAATAAAAGGAGTGCTGGATCCGTGCAGCGCTGCATGTTTTGTAAACTCCCAGGTTTTGAGTGCTGCATGAGCGCAAGTCACAGCGAGTGGACCCCTTTTTGAAAAATACCCCTCGGTCGTTGAAAGCAGGTATTTCTGGATTCTCGGATTTGAATCTACTTTCAGCGCCTTCCTTCTTCAATGATCGAGTGGCTTCACCAATCCCCAGCGAAGACCCCTTCTTGAAACGTGGCCCTCGGTCGTTGAAGGTGGGTATTCTTGGATCCCCATCTTCCAATCTAATGGTAAGCGGCTTCCTGCTTCAAGGATCGAGTGGCTTCACCGTTCTGGTCCTCCTTACGTGGCGGAGGGCACTAAATCTGTGTTCAAAGCCTTCCTACTTCATGGTTCTACCTATTTCTTCCGACCGATGGGTATCATTCCCCCATGATTCGAAACGTTGCACCAATAGAACGAACATGAGCGGCGCTAAGGCGAGAGCGCAATTTCGACTAAGACCTGTGCTCATGTGCTCACTCCTTGCACCTGTTGCAAGAGTTAGCGACGAATGTGCGCTGCGCTAACGCGACGGCATAATTTTGAGAAGCAACCGCAGTCCCTCCCTGCCTTCGGCCAACCCCGCCTCCGCGCCTGCGCAACAGCGCAGCGTGACGGAGGTTAGGCGAAAGACGAATGCTGGGGCTTCTAAGAGGCCTCGTGCATGCCAATCGGGAGCCTTCGAGGTCCGTTGGGAGGGCCTCTGTTGGTCTGTATGGGGGGCCCATGGAAGCCTCTTGGGAGTCGCTTCAGCCTCTCGGGGGCGTCTCTGGGGCCTCTTAGGAGCCGCTTTGGGGCATCAGTGACATCAGGGGGTCTTGGAGGCGATCCTGTAGGAAAAGGTTGACAAGGCCAGCTCGGTTCCCTCCTCTTGGGCCACTCATCGGGCCTTTTCAGGGGCCCTCTGTGCCGCCCTGGAGCTCCCCTGGGCCTTGTTCAAGCCGCCTGGGCCGTCCTGGGGACTTCTGAGCCCTCTTAGGCTTTCGGAATCTCGACCACCAAAGAATAATCCAACTAAGAATCTCTTCGTCACCAAAGAATTCTCTTCGTCACCAAAGTATTCTCTAAAACCACCAAGTATGTCAAATTCTCTTCGTCACCAGAGAATAGTCCATGTGCTTTGCTTCTCGAGATCTCCGTGGAGCCCTCTTGGGCCGCCGTCGGGGGGCTCTTGGGCCGTCGTCCGGCCATCCTGACCCCCTCGGCTGGGCACGTCGTCACCCGCTTGGGGGGCATGCTTTTGTAGTGTTCGGACCCCCCTCGGGGTGGCCTGTGTTGATCCCCCCTCGGTGGGAGTTGTGTCAGGCCTCCTTCATGCGAGGTTCAATTGAGTGTGACAATTCTTTCTTCCCCTAAAAAGAGAGCCCGTCCACGGGCAAATCCGCTTCCCCTCAAGGGGGCTATACCCGTGCGGCAAGGCACGAAGGATTCCGCACCGATGGACGAACACAAAAAAACAAAACAAAACAAACAAATCAAATAGTATGACAAATTACGCACAATCTGATACGGAGCGGGGGTGCTCGAGAGGTCGTTGGAGCGAGAGGGAAAGGTCGGCCCTAGAGTAAGGAAACCTCACCATACAGCAGAGGAGCATTCCCACACGCCCACTCCGTGCAGGCGCGGTGGCGGATTACAACGAATGCGCGCGGCAGTGAGGCGAGAGCACCATTGTGAAAACGACCCGCCGCTCCAGCCTGACAGTTGTTGCAATTTGTTTCAGGCGATTGTGAGCGGCGTTACGGCGAGAGTCGCATTCTGGAAATGAGCCACCCTCCACCGTTGAAATTGTAGCCACGGTTTGAAATGAAACGTCCCTCCATTCTTGAAATTGTTGCAAGTTTTTGAGAAGAATGTGCGCGGCGTTAGTGCGAGAGCACAATTCTGAAACCGACCCTGCTTTTCTCCCTTGAAGCTGCAGCAAGCATTTAAGACGAATTGTTGCGGCACTTGGGCATGGACACATGTTGAAATCCAGCCCCCCTGCATCTTTTCATATGTTGCACAAGTGTAACGTGAAAGGCCCCCCTTCATCTTCATAAAGGCGAGAGCCACATTTGACCCTTCTTCCATCCTCAAGCGGTGCCAGGGCGAAGGCATTTTGACCCTCCCGCCGCTCAATCTCTGAAACTGTTCATCTTTCAGGTCTCAGGATCATAGGTGGTGAGGAAGTCTCAGTCGAAACGCACGGCCCTCCCTTACCCACACGTCTGGGGGTGCGACAGGGAGGAATATAAGGAAAAGGGATGGATGCTGAAGCATGGAGGGTGGAGGAGGGAGAGAGAAGGAAAGAGGGGGAGGAGTGGGGAGACACACCGCAGCGTGACAGCGCGGCATCGTGCCCCGTGTCATCGGCAGGATCGTCTTCAATTGGCGCAGCCGCAGCCGTTTCCCTCGAGCGATCGAGAGACTTTTTGAATTCGTGCCAGGTTTTTTTCGGGGGTCGGTGCGAGGCCGCACGACTTGACCACAGCAGGACCCCCACAGAGGGAGCGCGCAGGGATCGGCACCCGTGCCAGCCATCCGGGTGGCCAAAACCGTGGCTATGGTTTGATTGCCCCCCGGGCCCGTTGAAGGAAGGGGGATTGAAGAGGATGAGGTTCAGTGGCTGCATCAATGCAGAGGAGGGGGGATTTTAAAAGAGTAGGACTAATGGAGGATGACGATTAATAATGACCGGGGGTCGTGTTCACGCGGCGGCGCCCGGGATGACGATTAGAAAAAAACTGGCCGCGGGCTGGAAAACTATTTGTTTTAATCGTTCTCCTCCAGCCAGAAAATTGTGCAGAAATAACAGAAAACTGTTTGTTTTTATCGTTCTCTCCCATTTCTTTTATTAATCGTCATCCCGCATTAGGAGTAAGAGGGGGAGGAAGAAGGATAGGTGGTGGGGGGAGGAGCAGGCGCAGGAAGGGAGGAGGGCGAGGCCGAGAACTCCCGCAAACGGTGGGCGAAGAGGCCCTCGCAGAGGAGAGGCCCGGTCTCGCTGCCCCCGCTTGGCATCGCTCGGACGTGTGCATGTTTCCTTCGGCGAGAGGACCATCGATGAGCATCCTTGATGACGTGGCGAAAAATCCGCGCACGAAACCGAAAAAAAACACGCACGAAGACATGGACGTCCGAGCGATGGCCCCCCCCGCGGCTTCGGCCGCCCGGAAGCTCCCGAGGAGGCCTCCCGCGGCGCCCCTACCTCTCGGAGGGCGCCGGCTGCACGGGATCTGGGCCGACCCTGGGCGCCGAGGAGGGGCGTCGCCAAGATCGGTGCAGGCGTATACAGTCAGGAGCTTCGGCTCAGGGTACAGCCGGGGCCCTGCAGAAGGAACCCTTCTCGTTGGGGAGGGGCTCGGTGTTCCTTGATTGTCCTACAGTTTGCCTTCTGTTTTCCTGAGGTTTTCCATGGGAAATCGAAGTTCAATTTATGGGAGAGAGGGGCCCCGTTCATTAGTTAGGGTTCCTTGGGTCAACGCCCCGACTGTACCGCTCCGCTGACTGTGGCCCACCACGCTGTCCACGCTGCGGCCCACCGGGCGCCGACGTCTGCAGCGTTTCTCCCGGCCTCCCGCCCCGCGGAGCGTGGCGACCTGCCGTCCCCTCTCGGGGCACAGCGGGTCGCGAGAGGGCCACCGCGGCGACCCGCGAAGCAGAAGTTCCCGGCCGTGCAGTGCTGGTTTCAATACATGCTCCGCGTGCGGATCACGTATTAAAACATGCAGGGATTTAGTATTATAAACAACGATGTGTTCATGCATGAATTTGTTCATACATTAATCACGTATGAAAGATCCAGTATTTTCAAAAATCCTATGTATCAGCAACTGCCCTGCAGTTGACGTCCTCCTGCCATCACTACTCCGCGGGCGGGGCATCCGCAGGGCTCGGCCCGGGCAATGTGCAGCACCCTCTGCAGCGACGGCAGCGGCAGCAGCGACCGCGCGCTCGGCCCGCCGGAGGGGCCGCCGTGCTGCCCGCAGGCGCCCGGCGCGTGTGGCCTCGTCGCAAGGGGGGGAGGCTCTCCATCCTCGTTTCGGGCCGGACGAAAGGAGGGGATTGGGAAAGGGGGGGTTACGACATTTGCTGCATGCAGCTGGTTTCGGCCCCACCGAGGGGCTCATTCCTCGATACATGGCCGCCTCCGGCGCCGGGAGGCGCCGGGGAAATCAGCTACGTGAGCTGATTCTCAAACGCCCCCTTTGCTATCCCCTCCTTTCGCCCCACCCGATCTTTGCTCGGGGGTGCTGTGGGAGCGCTCTGCCCGAAGCGTCAGCAGAGGCGGGGGGGGGAGAAGTAGTCCCATCGACTGCAGTGCAGCTTCTGCAGGTCGTGTCGAAAATATCGTCCTGGGGACATCCATGCGGGTAGTTTTTCCTGCTGGGCTCGTTTCTGACGACCCCGACCCAAAAACAGCTTCTGGAGACCGAGAACTCAGACAAACCGAAGGCGACGAAGACGAACAAATATGATATTTCAGTTGCCTGTTTTCGGGGCATCGGCGGGGCCCGCAGCGCCGCGAAGTGCTCTGGACTCGGCCCCCCAAGGCTCCAACACCACCACCACCTCATCCTCACTGCCCTCCTCCAACTTCTCGAGGTGGCGTGCGTCCCTCAGGACGGAAGACTAGCTCGGACGAGGTGAGCCCCGCAAAACGGGGGGCTCCGTGGGCAAAATCAGCCCTCTCCCCTGCTGTGGGCCGAGCTCGACGACAAAGTGCGCGCCACCACCAGGGATGCATCGGCCATGAGCGCGCCAGCGTGGGCCAATGGGGGAGCATTGGCGACCGAGTTGCCCACCTGGGGGTGGCGCTGGGCCCAGCGGCCACGATGCCGATGCAGAGGGCCCGGGCCGGCGCAAAGAGGTCCCGGAGCGGGCTCGTGCCCCCCTCGGGCCGCAGGGGCCTCGGCCGACGGCCCCGTGTGCCCCGGGCTGGTGTCGCTTCGCTCGCTGCAGGCCCGCTCGGCACGGGGCTCCCTGACCGTGAGCTGGACGCCACGCGAAGCCGTCCAGCTGGGCTCGCCAGCCGGGTGGGCCTCTGGGCTCGTGCGGGCGCCGCTCGCTGCAGGGCCCGCAGGGGCTCCCTCTCGGGGAGCTCGGGGCTGCCGACGTGTGTTTTTGACGAGCGCGTCCCGGATTTGGACGGTCCGGTTTCCGTGGGATGTCTGCAGCGGGCGCTCGCGTCAAATTTCAGAGTGGGCCTCGTCATTTTTGTGATGGCCCCGTCGGGCCAACCCGAGTCCCCCGTGCCCGAGTCTTACGTCTCCCCGACCCTTGGCCGCAAGCGACAAGCTGGCCCAGCGAGCCTGGAGCTCTCCCTCCCCCTTGTTCCGCCCTCCCCGCGGAGGCCCGCGCGCACGGCCCCTGGAGCCTGGCGGGCGTGCGCGAGCGGAGGGCGGACCCACGGCAGGCGCCAAAGCCAACAACGGTGATGGGCCTCGCGTGTCACAGCCCACGACCACGACGCGTGGAGACGCCTGTCTACTCGCTGGACCCCCCAAAGCTTACGGCCCAGGCCCAACCCAATGACGCCACAGAGCACAACGCAAGGAATGGGAGCACGAAGGCGCCAAAGTCCTACGCACCACGTCCAACGCGCACGACGGCGACGACGACCACAAGAAGTGGATAGCCATTGCGACGGACAGAGAAAATTGGCTCGCACTGGGGTTGGACCTCCTGGCATGTACGTCGATGCTGAGGACGGCGGACACCGCCAGCGGATGCGTGGATGGCGCTGGAGCCAGCACTCGCCAACACCCCCACACCGCAGCATGAAGGCCCCCTCCCTCCTCCCCCCCCTGCTCTCCAGGCCCCGCCCGCCCGCTCCGCCTCTCCAGTGCCGCTCCGTCGGCGCGTCGGCGCTCGCCTCGCCTCGCCTCGCCTCTCCCCCTCAATCCAGCTCCCGCGCCCCCGCCATGCGGCTCTCCTCGCGCAGCCTGGCTTCGGCGGGGTGGCCGTGCGCTGGCGCGCGGCCTGTCGCGGGATGGGGGGGGTGCACTGGCGGGAGCACCGCTGCTGGAGCGGAGGCGGTGGTCCGAACGCGCGCGCTCACGCGTCGGGTGTTTCTAGCAGTGCTCCTGGCCCAGGGTGGGGAGGGAGGGAGGGAGAGAGGGGGGGAGGGGGAGGAGGAGGAGGAGGAGGAGGAGGAGGAGGAGGAGGAGGAGGAGGAGGAGGAGCAGGAGGAGGAGGAGGAGGAGGAGGAGGAGGAGGAGGAGCCCCCGGCTGGTCGCTCCAGTTTGGAGCCCCCCTGGGGCCCGCTGGGCCTCGGGAGGGGGCTGGGCCGCCCCGAGAAGCACCTCGGGGGCCAGGGGCACCTCTGGGGCCAGGGGCACGTCCAGCCACACCCGAACTTGTTGAGCACGTGCACCGCGCTGGGATCGGGGCGATCGAGGTGGGTACGGAAGCCATAGGTACGAAGTCAAATCACACCCGAGCAAGAACAACAACCAGTGGATGGTTACATTGTTGGTGAGATGGATCGTGAGATCGATAGTGGGTCGGCCCTGTGAGATCGATTGTGGGATCGATCGATCGTGGACCCAAACTTGTTGAGCACGTGCACCGCCCTGGGCATCGGGGTGATCGAGATGGGTACGGAAACAATGGGTTTGAGTCGGGCGTGTCCTTCTGCAGGAGGAAAATCCAGAAATAGTACAGAACGTAGTCTTGGGACGACTTGTTTGACTCTCCTTGCATATGTTGAGCATTTATGTGTTCCGTGTTTATCCGTTTTTCTAGAAACCGTCCTGCAGGAGGACGTGCACCGCCCTGGGACCTTGGCGACCGATGTGGGTACGAAAACAATAGGTACAACGCCCCATTGCACAAGAATAACAAAACCCAATCAGTGGATGGTTACAGTTTCAGTGACATGGGGATTTAGATCAATTGTGAGATCGATAGTGGATCGGTAGCGAGGACGATGGTAAGGTCGATCGTGAGACCAATAGTGAAGTCGATTCAGTGAGATCGATCGTGAGATCGATCGTGAGATCGCGGAAACCCGGGAACCCCGCCGTCCACCGAAATCGGCCTTGAACCCCGGCGGGAACCTGGGAACCCGTCGGCCTACCGAATTCGGCCGCTCACATTTTGAGCAGGGCTCGTTGCCGTCGTAGTTGCCGGCGTTGCCCATCTGAGACAGAAGGCCGCCTGTCCAACAGCGGCCGCTGATGGTCTTGGACAATAGCTGTTGTTGGGCATCGTACCCATTTCTTCCGTACCCGCTTCGGGCGTCCAAAACGGCCGATCGAGCCGAACCGACCGAATTCGACCAGTTGGCGACGCAGTCGAGCCGATTTGAGGCAGAGTCGTGTCGTGTCGACCCTGGCAGTGGTGCCTGCCGCCGCGGGGATCGTTCAGGCTTGAACGATCGGCCCTTCCTGGAACGTCGGATCGTTCAACACCGACCGATTCTGGGCGCCCACATGGGCGCCCAAATGGAAACCCTGGCGCGCCGAATGGGAGCCCTGGCGGAAGGGTCGCGGTAATGTGGAGACCGCCCTTGCAGCGAGACTGCCCCCTCAGGCCCTGCGGCTGCTGCCGCGAGCGCCTTCTAAGAAGCAGGGGTGCTCCTGACAAGCCTCTAGCAAGCCTCTTCCTCCCTATTACTATTACCCTCTCTGCGCGTGGCTGAGTGGTCTCAACCCCCGGGGGGGGGGGGCCCAATCGCCCTAGGAACCTTGGCGGAGGGGTCGCCGTCATGTGGAGACCGCCCCCCTGCAGCGAGAGTTTGCCCCCTGCAGCTGCCGAACCGGAGCCGCTCGTCTCTGGGGCTGGCGGCGAGTGCTGACGTGAAGGCGGGCGTGTCCTTCTACTGGAGGAGTATCCTAAAACAGTAAAAAATAGTCTGGGGACGATTCGCTGCTATGTTTTGATTTTTGCGTTGAGCATGTTTGACCAGTGTTCCTTTTCTTCCAAGATCCGCCTGTAGGAGGACATGCCTGACCTGAGGCTCGTGCTAACGGGCTCCTCCGGCTGCGGCGTGGCTGTGGCGGTGGCGGCCCGGGTCGCCGCGCCCAAGGCAGGGGGTCGTTGATGTCGCCAGCCCGCGGTGCAGGGCTCGATGCTTCCCCTGCGGGGGGCGTCGTCCGTGGACAGCACCTTCGGTTCCACGGACCTCGGACGCATTTGGCGTGACTGGCGCGGGGGAAGCACCCCGGGGCCTCAGGCCCAGATTCTTTGTGCTGAGATGATACAAATACCGCAGAGCCGCGACAGCGGCGCCGCTCCCGCGGCACGACAGAGCTCATTACAGCATGATTTACCTGCTCGGGGCTACGACTAATGGCAAAGAGCGTGACAAAGTACGTCACACGACACGGGCCATCGGAGGGCCAGCCCTGCCAGGGCACGTTCAATACAGCATTACCCTCATCACGACGCTCCATTGAGGGCGCGCTTGCATGTTCCAGTTTTGTTCTACATCCCTGTACCGCCATTCTCGGCAGCTGGCGAGGCGACGACTTCCTTTTCACTGCCACTTTCTTCCTTTTCTGGCTGCTAGAGGGTCCTGGACTTCACATACATCGTGCTGGCGTCCGCGGGCTAGGTGGGGAATCCTTTCAATCCTTTCCCCGGCCGGCGCTTTCGACGTGGAGTTGGTGGCTTTGGCACGCACTTCCTCTAGAGCGTTGGCACCCCGGGCCCTGCGTCTTCTGTAAGTCGCCCGTCGCTTCAGTCTCGGTAAAGCAGTCCACGGCCAACGGCTCACTCTTGTTTCCTGTCCTTGGCGGAGTACTTGTTCTGCATGTTCATCAGCGGCCTTCCGGCCGTCTGGGCGTTCGTCTCGGCCAACAGCGCCGGGTTTCGCTTGACAAGGAGTTCATTGCCTTCAGTTCGGCGTGAACATTATCATTATTTGTGGTGCCCGATCTTTATATTTTCGGACGTTCCTTCATTACGGTATCGTGTGGACCGAGGACAGAGTCAGCCTGGCTCGAGCGCAGAAGGAGCAGCAAGGCTCGATGATCATGGGCCTCTTGGATGGGGTCGGAATTTGATGGGGTCCGAGGATCGTTCCGCATCGTCGATACATCGCCGATGTGGCTCGATGTGGCGCCCGATTCTCTCCACGCCGACGGCGCCGACACGCCGCCGACGTCGGCGATGCATCGCCGATGCATTGGCGATGCGGCGCGATCTTCCGACCCCATCTCATCTACTCGGATCCCATCTCGGAGGCCTTTACATCGCCAGCCCGCGCTGCAGGGCTCGATGATGCGGCGGATGACGGAGCGGCTTTGACAGCACGCTGCGTTGTTGGTCGTCTTTACGGAATGCTTTGTGAAAATGCGAATAGTAATTCGAGGCTGCAGACAGTGTGGTGCTGTATGATGGGCGCTCCGCATGACATGATGTCCAGCGCAATTGAGCGCGAGGCATCGCTAAGGCCCCGCTGGGCAGTCTTCGCGCGTTGCTGACAGTCTCGGGTTTCCACAGTAGCAGCTGACACATGAGCATGCTTATACGACTTGCATAATGAGCTCCGCATCCACGTGGGCTCTGGCCCCGATCACGTCATGTGATCATTGCATAGTAGGACGCAACTGCAGGGGCCAGTATGGCACGAGGCATTGAAACGACCTTCTCTCTTCCCCGACCTCGTCTTGCCTTCACTGCTCTCCTTTTTCCTTCCTTTTCGCCGTCGTTCTCTTCCCCGGGATGCTCCTCACACTCCCCCTCCTCAGTTGTCATGTTGCTTCGCCTCTTTTCTTGTCAGCCTCAAATTATTATACCTCCCGTCTCCCCCCCTCCCCATACTATTTGTCCTTCATTTGATCTTCCTTCATTATTGCTATTGTCATTCCCCTTGTCTCTCTCTCTCTCACTCTCCCTTGCTTGTTTATTGTGTCTGTTTTTTTGTTCTCTTTCTCTCTCTCTCTCTCTCTCTCTCTCTCCCTTTCTCTTCACAAGCATATTCACCTTTCCCCTTCACCCTCCTCCCAATCATCGGGGCCCGCTAGCGGGCCGCCTGGGGTGCCTGGGGTCGGTGGTCGCAAGGGTCCCGTCAGGTTCTGGCAGTATGCGGTGGAGGTCCCTGTGCTGGACCCTAAAAATGTCGCCCGCCTGAACGGTTGTTTTCCGCCCGATTCGGCGGTTGAATGCAAAGGAGTTGCGGCAGGCGAAGTTGCTGGCCAAAGTCATTGATTCAGAGCTTTCTGGCCTTACCCAGACATGGAGTGGGCCTAGCCTGGTGCTGCCGCGTAGCGGCGTAGCGGTGCGGAGGCTTCGCCGATGTTACCTTGCCATTACCTCCCCCTCCGCCCCCCGCCCCCTCCTGCTCAAGGAGCCCACGGCGCGGAAGATGCCGCTGGTGAACGTGAGCCGGTGCGAGGCGCTGAGCTCGCTCGCTTGGGACTTCCGGTTCAACCGTGACTTCGGCGACAAGGTGCGGGCGTTGGAGGCGGTCCTGGGCGGGAAGCGTCCCAAGGCATGCTACGACCTGATTTTTCAGGGCGTCGTCCCCGGAAGTCCCGACCCTTTCCCCAAGACCTGCTTTTCGTCCCGAGTCGTTTTTTGACGGCCCCAGGGCCCGCCCGTCCTGATTTCTGTGACGACGGGAACATGTCTGGGTCTGGGCGCCGTCCGACGTTCTGGCCGATGTGCACGTAAGTTTGGAAGGTTGCGGTCGGCGTCTCCAGGGCAACCGCGCAGATGCTCTGTGGCCAGATCGGGAGCCCCGCATGGGGGGCCAGGCCCTCGTGCTCTCCCCGCTCCTGCCCCACACACCGAGCGCCGACGCCGAGAGTGCGTGCCCGCGCGCAGCTCCACACAGTGTGGGGGCCCATGCCAAGAGGCGCCCTGCTCGCCTCCAGGGTGCCCCGGGCTTCTGTGGCCTCGATGGCCCTGCGGTGAAACAGGCACGGCGCTCCCACACCAGGAATCCATGGACGCCCTGGGGTCTCAGGATTGGGTTTCTTGTGGAAGGTTTCCAGGAGGAGGAGGAGGAGGAGGAGGAGGAGGAGGAGGAGGAGGAGGAGGGGGAGGAGGGGGAGGAGAGGGAGGAGGAGGAGGAGGAGGAGGGGGGAAGAGGGAGGAGGAGGAGGAGGAGGAGGAGGAGGAGGAGGAGGAGGAGGAGGAGGAGGAGTGTGGACTGGCCGCCGCTGCACCCGCGGCCTCGCGGCCCGGGGCCCTCCGGCCGCGATCCCACGGGCTGCTCTCCGAGTGGCTCCGCGCGCGGCACCGCGCGGACTGCTTTTCTCCATGCGGCCGCGTGCGTCACGGGATCGCGCCCCGGAGTCCAGGCCACGAGGGCGCGGGTACGGCCGTTTGCGAAAGAAACGCCCATCTTAGGGATCGAAAACAAGACGAGGAAGTGCGCCCCCTATTCCCGCATTTCAAGGTTGACGGGGAGGGCTGGGCAGTCCAACATAAGTGGGCGTTTATTTCGCAACGCTTCGCACTCCCCTTCGGCGTGTTTGGTGGCCAACATTGAAATACGGGGCGCGGGGCGGGGCTCTCGGTACTTCCGCACGTGGGCGTTTATTTTGCAAACGGCGGTATGGCATGTGGGCCCAGACATCTGACGTGCCGATCTTTTCCGCACGGCGTCCACGCGGGTCCGGACCCTTTCCTCCAGGCCTCTTAGGTGGGGTCGGGCCTTGATGGGGTCCGAGGATCGTTCCGCACCCTCGATGGATCGCCGATGCGGCTCGATGTGGAGCCCGATTTTCTCCACGCCGACTTCGCCGATGCGTCGCCCACGTCGGCGATGCATCGCCGGTGCATCGCCGATGCATCGCCGATGTATCGGCGATGCGGCGCGATCTTCGACCACATCTACACCGACCCCTTCCACAGGAGGCCTCTGTGGACCCTCGGCGCGACATGCTGTTCACGTCCCCATGTCCCAGGCGTCCACGACCCGAGCCTTCCACGGCCTCCCGCCCCGCGGAGCGGAGCGACACGATGCCCGCCCGCAGGACACTGCGCGTCGCCGGGGCCGCCGCCGCGACGCGCCGTCCACGAGCTCCCCCCAGAGATCCGACGTCGTGATTTTTAAGGAAATACCGGCTCGACTGTTTTCAATACGCTGGATCTCTGGGTCCTGGCCGTTCACTCGCCGCCCGTGCGAGGCGATGGGCTACCGCGGCTGGCGGCGGATCCGCGGCGACGGCAATTGCTTCTACCGCGCGGTGGGCTTCGGGCTGCTGCAGCTGCTCGCCGCGCAGGAGGGCGCGCGGCGCGCGGCCTGGGGAGCGCAGGTCTTCAAGCAGTGGCGAAACGCCCTGGCTAGTCTGTAGGCCCACCAGCGAATGCTCCAAGAACCCTTTTGCGGTCTGCAGGAAATGTTCTCAGAACAGCTCTGGCTGAGCCTGTTTTGTTTTCACACATCGGGCTGATGGTCTGAATATAAACGCGCTTGGGTTCTGAGAACATCTCGTCGTAGGCCTATAGGAAAGCGGAGGGGGAGGAGGAGGAGGAGGAGGAGGAGGAGGGGGAGGAGGAGGAGGAGGAGGAGGAGGAGGAGGAGGAGGAGGAAGAAGAGGAGGAGGAGGAGGAGGAGGAGGAGGAGGAAGAGGAGGAGGAGGAGGAGGAGGAGGATGAGGAGGAGGAGGGGGAGGAGGAGGAGGAGGAGGAGGAGGAGGAGGAGGTTCCTGCCCAAGGTCTGCCACAACCTGGGGGCGGTCCGCTTCGAGGACGCGCGCCACCAGGACTCGGGGGAGTCGTGAAGAAGGGAGCGAGGGCGCCGACCCTGCCCCGGCAGGGGACGATCTCGGGAGGAAAAGAAACACACAGACACAACGAATCGTCGATTCCCCAGAAAACATGGGAAAATATGGGCAGGGGTGGGGGAAGACAGAAGCCCAGAAAAAATATGGGAAAACATGGGGGATCGTCTTATCTGCGTGTCTTTATTTGTGTGTCCCGGGGCCCCTTCAACGATCTCGGGAGATCTGCGGTCCGAGGACTGCGGGCGTGTCCGTCCGCTCGGAGCGGCCTCCAATCCTCGGGGGTGCGTGCCTCGCCGCGGTGCCCTCGCCGCGGGCGCTCCTGGCCTGCCCGGATCGCCCCCAAGCGGCCGCCGGAGGCCCGAGCTGTCCAGGAGGGAAAAAACACACACACAGACACACAAAGAATCGTCGTTTCCCAGGAAAAGATTGGAAAAGATGGGAAGTGGTGGGGAAGACAAAAAAAAGCTGGGAAAATGATTGGGAAAATGTTGATGTGTGTGTATTTCTTTGTGTGTCCTGGGGCCCCTTCAGTTATGACCCGAAGACGAGCCCCGAGTCAGGGGCAACCCTGGGGGGGAAAAGTCGCGGCGTGCCCCGCGTGCAGGCTCGGCCGTCGCCAGACGAGGAGCCTCTGGCCTCGTGTCTCGTGGGGTGTCTTCTCCCCGAAACTCCCCCCCGATCCAGGTTTCTACTCCTGGTGTTAAGTCGGGCCTGTCCCTCAACAGGGGGAATATTCAAGAATAGTCAAACAATAGTCTGGGGGCTATTTTTTGAGAATGTTTGGGCATCCTTTGAGCATTTGTCGGGTACTTTTTTATTTGGCGTCCAAAATCCCCCTGTAGAGGGGGGCAGGCCCGACCTAATCCTGGGGGGGGGCGGCACTTTTCGGGGCGCTGCGGAGTCGGGCCCGCTGTTTGGGGGGGCCGCACATCGGGTGCATGCCAGAGCGATCAGACAGCCGCCCCGGCGGCCCAAGACCGCCCCGAGCCACACCCCGGAAACGTCGGGGGCGGCAAAGAGGGGGGTGATGACTGGGGGGGGGGATATCATGGCGGGGGCCATGATATTTTCCCAGCTTTCATGGCGCCCCTTCTTATCTCATTACGTCCCTGGCCCCCCCGCTGGGCCGCGCGCATGCCGCCGATCATGATTTGCACCCCCCCCTCTTGGACACCCCCCTCTTGGCCGCTCCAGAGAAAACGGCCTCCAGGAGTCTCCGACGAGCTTTCCAAACGGACCAAAGGTTCCAAGGCGGCCGAAGAAGGCTCCAAGAGGACTCCGACGAGTGCTCCAAGACGCCGAACTTGAAAAATGCTTTTAGGTTTTTGAAGGATGTTGGCGTTCTTACCTTTGGGGCTTCCAACGCTCCCAGGCGGCTCAAGAGGCGCCCAAGATCGCCCCGAGACGGCCCAAGAGTGGTCCAAGAAAACCCCAAGATGGCGCCAGAGACCTCTCAGGAGCCACAAGATGATTCGAGAGGGCCCCAGGGCGACTCAAGAGGCCCCCCAAGATGGCCCAGAGGGGCCCCAAAGCGGCGCAAGAGAGCCCCAAGAGTCGAAACACGAACCTACAATTCCAGCCTTCTCCCCTCCCAGGACCCAGAGACCCGAAGAGGTCCCGACTAGGCGCCTCGAGGTCCCAAGAGGCCCGCCAAGAGGCCCGAAAGAAGCCCCAAGAAGCCCCAAAACGGCCCCCAAGAGGCTTCAAGCCGCCCTCGACGAGGTTTCCGAAAGGCGCCCCGCCAGGTGCCGACGAACACCCAAGAGCCCTCTGACATGCGTACACGTTTGGTGTGTATACACATAAATATCTGTATATATTTTTTAACGCATCGAAGAAGCCCAGCGGCAGAGAGCAGCAGTCGAGGAGGGGAGGGGGGGAGGGGAGGGGGGGCCGGGGCGGCACGCGGCCCATGCGCAGCCCGCCATATCTGTATACACGTATACATCCACACACACGGAAGCTCCCGGCCCCGGGGCACCAGGGGGGGCCCCGCTTGCACAGAGCGGCCCCCCCCCTCCCTGGGGGCTCCCCGGCCGGCCCTCGGAGTTCCGAGACGGCCCCAGGGGCGTCCCACGATCGGCCAAGACAGCCTCCAGACTCCCGGCGGCCCAAGTTGCCTACGGCAGGCGCCCGGAGGACCCCGAGAGCGTTCCGAGACGGCCCGAAACGGTCTCGAGACGGCCAAGACGCCCCAAGCGGCCCCCTGAGAGGGCGCGGGCTTTCAAGGTTGAATGCAGGCAGTGGTTCTGAATAGGCCTATCTTGGAGCCATCTTGAAGCCTCGGAAGCACGCCGAAAGCGCATCGGCGTGAAGGCCAAAATCAGTTGTTTCCCCACGGTGTTTGGAGGATTCTGGCGTCATGGGTGCCTCCTGGGGATCCCTTGCGGGCCTTTAGGGCCCTTGCCCCTGAGCTGTCGAGCCTGTCTTGGGGGCATCCTGGAGGCCATCAGAAAATTGACCGTGGATGAGACGGGGACCCAGGTAGGAGGCTCGTCGACGATCGAGGCCGAGAGTACCGCAGAAGGCGCATACGGAAGCGGAGGAGGAGGTGGAGGAGGAGGTGGAGGAGGAGGAGGTGGCGGGCGTGGAGGCAGCGGAGCAAGGAGGAGAAGGAAAGAGACACGGAGGGGGGGTGGGGGAGGAAAGGAGCAGCAGGAATCAGAGCCAGAGCAGGAGAAGATCTCCATTGTCAGGCGGTGCAGAACAGCATGCCTCGGTGTGCGGTGTTTGGCTGGAACTTGAGCCCGCGCGAAGCGCGCGCGAGGGTCCCAATGCACCATGATTCGGCTCAAGCGACGTGCAATGCAGAGCCAGACTCGGGCACCTCCGTTGTTCGTTGATCTCTTCCAGCCCCAGACGACGCGTCGTAGAAGCCCCCAAAGGCCCCCTCAAACGACTCCTGTAACCAGGAGCGTGGTTATAGCTTTCGTTCATCAAGACTACTACTTGTTGATCCCCCCCCTCTGGTGCCAACCGTATTGTTCGATTGAAGTGCCCCTCCTGGGGCTCGCACCACGTTCTTACAAGAGGCAGTATTGAGCCTCACCCTGTCTTTTTGGCCCCCGGCTTACTACAGCAGCGATTCCCGCCTGGGGCTTCAATCCAGGAGCCGCGCTGTCGCCGCAGACTTCCTTGCAACGCACTCACGAATCGCTCTCGCGGCGCTCTGGCATCGCACTTCTGCTCGAGACTTCCTCCCCGCGCCCTCATTGCGACTTCCTTGCCATCTCCTCTTGCGAATCCCTCTCGTCCTCCATCTTCTCCCTCCCTCCTCCTTGCCCCCTCCCCTCCTTCCTCCCTTCGTCCACTCCCTTCCTCCTCGCCCTCTCTTTCTCTCTCTCTCTCTCTCTCTCTCTCTCTCTCTTTTCATTATCAAATGGCCTTCGGCCCATCCCACCATCGTGCCTGCGTTGTGGGTCAGAGTCCTCAAGGATGCTTCTTGGGCTCTCTTCGGAGCACTCTGGGGGCCATCCTGAGGGAAGTGTACGGCCCTCTTGGAAGCTTATTGGAAGCCTCTTGGCGGCCTCTCGGGGCCGAGGGCTCGAACTGTCCGTTCGGTTCCCCCGTCTGGGCCCTCTCTTGGAGCCCCAGGCTTCTTGGACCGTATGTGAGGCGTCTTGGGCCGTCTTGGGGCTTTCTCGGGCCGCTTCGGGGCCGTCTTGGAGGCCTCTTGGGCCGTCTTGGGGCGATCTTCGGGCCTTTTGGGCTGGCTTAGAGCGTCGGGAAGCCGAAAAGGCGAGAACGCCAACATCTCTCATAAATCTTGAGGGGATACTTGGGCCTCTGGGGGTCCTCTTGGAAGGCCTCTTGGAGGCCACTTCAGCGTCCTTGAGGCTTCTTGGGCCGTCTTGGGGCCATCTTGGGCCTCTTGGAGAGACCTATAGGCGTTTCATGGCCCTCTTGGACCACCCTCTTGGACCATCTTGGGAGTCTATCAGTGCTCTTTTTGCCCGTCTTGCGGTCCTCTTCAGCCCCAACAAGTCATGCGGGAAGGTGCCAGGAACCCCAGGGGGCACGCGCCAAACCCAAGATGATGTGATTTGGCAATTTGGGGTCTGGGCCCATAGGAGACTCTTCAGGAGTGAGGATTGGGGCTTAGAGGATTACGAATAGGACCTGGGGGCATGACCACCCCGTGCCCAGAGGCACGGTGGCGCATTGTTGCTCTTCTGTTTTTCCCAACCATCCTGTGGTGTTGGGTCCTCGTTTTGAAGAGACGGTGCCCGCGTCCTCTCCTCTCCTCCTCTTCCCCCTCCTCCCTCCTCCCTCTCATCATCATCATCATCATCATCATCATCGTCATCATCATCAGCATCATCATCATCATCATCATCGTTCTTATCACCATCGTCGTCATCATCATCGCCGTCTCCATCATGGCCACACGTTTCGTGGACCCATAGTGAGCTCCACCGAAGGCCCCAGTGGCAAGGTCCGCATGCGGTTCCACCTCCATTTCGGCGCACCCCTCACACGTTCCGTGGCCCCATAGGGAGCTCCACCGAAGGCCCAAGTGTCAGGGTCCGCATGCGGTTCCACCTCCATTTCGGCGCACCCCTCACACGTTTCGTGGCCCCATAGGGAGCTCCACCGAAGGCCCAAGTGTCAGGGTCCGCATGCGGTTCCACCTCCATTTCGGCGCACCCCTCACACGTTTCGTGGCCCCATAGGGAGCTCCACCGAAGGCCCAAGTGTCAGGGTCCGCATGCGGTTCCACCTCCATTTCGGCGCACCCCTCACACGTTTCGTGGCCCCATAGGGAGCTCCACCGAAGGCCCAAGTGTCAGGGTCCGCATGCGGTTCCACCTCCATTTCGGCGCACCCCTCACACGTTTCGTGGCCCCATAGGGAGCTCCACCGAAGGCCCAAGTGTCAGGGTCCGCATGCGGTTCCACCTCCATTTCGGCGCACCCCTCACACGTTTCGTGGCCCCATAGGGAGCTCCACCGAAGGCCCAAGTGTCAGGGTCCGCATGCGGTTCCACCTCCATTTCGGCGCACCCCTCACACGTTTCGTGGCCCCATAGGGAGCTCCACCGAAGGCCCAAGTGTCAGGGTCCGCATGCGGTTCCACCTCCATTTCGCGCACCCCTCACACGTTTCGTGGCCCCATAGGGAGCTCCACCGAAGGAGTGTCAGGGTCCGCATGCGGTTCACACCTCCACATGCGGTTCCACCCCTCACACGTTTCGTGGCCCCATAGGGAGCTCCACCGAAGGCCCCAGTGTCAGGGTCCGCATGCGGTTCCACCTCCATTTCGGCGCACCCCTCACACGTTTCGTGGCCCCATAGGGAGCTCCACCGAAGGCCCCAGTGTCAGGGTCCGCATGCGGTTCCACCTCCATTTCGGCGCACCCCTCACACGTTTCGTGGCCCCATAGGGAGCTCCACCGAAGGCCCAAGTGTCAGGGTCCGCATGCGGTTCCACCTCCATTTCGGCGCACCCCTCACACGTTTCGTGGCCCCATAGGGAGCTCCACCGAAGGCCCAAGTGTCAGGGTCCGCATGCGGTTCCACCTCCATTTCGGCGCACCCCTCACACGCTTCGTGGCCCCATAGGGAGCTCCACCTCAGTGGCAGGGTCCGCATGCGGCGCACCCCTCACACGTTTCGTGGCCCCATAGGGAGCTCCGAAGGCCCAAGTGTCAGGGTCCGCATGCGGTTCCACCTCCATTTCGGCGCACCCCTCACACGTTTCGTGGCCCCATAGGGAGCTCCACCGAAGGCCCAAGTGTCAGGGTCCGCATGCGGTTCCACCTCCATTTCGGCGCACCCCTCACACGTTTCGTGGCCCCATAGGGAGCTCCACCGAAGGCCCCAGTGTCAGGGTCCACATGCGGTTCCACCTCCATTTCGGCGCACCCCTCACACGTTTCGCGGCCCCATAGGGAGCTCCACCGAGGGCGCCAATGGCAGGGTCCGCATGCAGTTCCACCTCCATTTCGGCGCACCCCTCACACGTTTCGCGGCCCCACAGGGTGCTCCACCGAAGGCCCCAGTGGCAGGGTCCGCATGCAGTTCCACCTCCATTTGGCGCACCTCTCACACGCTTCGTGGCCCCATATGGTGTTCCACCAACGACGATACTTACAACGGCGGCATTCGGAATTGCGTATGGTTGGGCCCTTCGCCAGGATAATTATGGGTTGCGCCACTTACACGTGACAGGAAGGGAAGATATACCACCCAAAGGTGGCACAATCACACAAGAAGAGGACGAGTATTGAGGGTGTGGGAGATACATGTTGAGTGACAGGCGAGCGTGAGAGAGCGAACAGTCTTTCACGTGGTAGTTGTCGTCGTCGTCGGCGTCGTCGCCCGCGACCCGTCCGCAACCCACCCGCGACCCACCTCGCGACCCACTCCTCGACCCACCCGCGACCCACCCACGACCCACCCGCGACCCACCCGCCTCCCTTTGACGAACATTCGGCGCCTGCAGCGGGCTCTCGGTACAGTGCGTAAGACATCGGCGCTTTCGGCGGGCTCCTGCAGAGCCTCGCAGACTGCCGACGACCCCGCCGCCCCAGGGGCCATGACATCCTCCGATCTGTGGACCTGGCGCCCACGCCCCCAGTCACGTTAGCGTTGTGTCGGGCATGTCCCTCTGCAGGAAGAAAACTCATACATTGCCACACGTGGAATGATTTGTTATGTTTCACTCACGTGGAAGAAAAGCACGTGGATGTTTTGTTGTGTTTCAATCACCTTTGCAATATGTTTCTAACATTGCTCAGCTTCTGTCCAAAATCCGCCAGTCGGAGGACATGCCCGACCTGATGTTAGCGCGTGTCCAACAGGAAGGCCACGAGGGCCTGCTCGCCCGCGTCCGGCGCCTCGCGGCGGGCGGCACGTGGGACGACGGCGCCGGCGCGGGCGGGGAGAGACCGTGCTGCCGACGTCGCTGCTCCCCAGACCTCCAATCCTCCTCCTCCTCCTCCTCCTCCTCCTCCGCCTCCTCATCGTTCTCCTTCTCCTCCGCCTCCGCCTGCTCCTCTTCCTCCTCCTCCTCCGCCTCCTCCCCCTCCTCCGCCTCGGCCTCCGCCTCCGCCTCCGCCTCCGCCTCCTCCTCCTCCTCCTCTGCCTCCGCCTCCGCCTCATCCTCCTCCTCTCTCTCCTTCTCCGCCTCCGCCTCCGCCTCCACCTCCTCCTTCTCCTCCTCCTCCGTCTCCGCCCCCTCCTCCGCCTTCTCGTCCATTGGAAAATCCAATGCGACAGCTTGTTGTAGTTGTCGGCCCCTGGGGGCTCTCGCCGGACCCCAGGACCGTCACAAAACGGCGGAAGGTTCAAAAGTGGCCGTGGGCAAAGGGTCCAGACTTTCAGGGACCCCGCACTGAACAAAGATAGTACATCGGATGTCTGGGCTCGTCACCACTGTTGGATTCGCCCCGAAATCCTGCCCAGAACTTGGTAGAAGAAACACGTTGAACAAGTCCAAGGTGTCGAGGGATCTTGTCGGCGCCGATCTTGGTCAGGATCCATGCCGACCGTTGCCGATACGCGAGGATGATCGACGAATCATCGCGGATCTAGATGGACGGTGACCAAGATCGACGGCGAAGTTTCCGTGTTCGGTCTTGGTCATGGTCCCCGCTTTTTCCCTTGTTCCCCCCACCAAATCGGGGCCAGAACGCACCCCGGGAGAGGTCCAAGCTTAGCTGCCCTGATACGCACATGTCGAAACGCAACACGTACCATGTTTAACACGTCTCTTACGCACGCATTGGCCCGCGTTTTGGCGAACATGTAGCGCCAGACTTTTTTGTTTTGAACCCACGCGTTGCACTCTGTGTCAGCACGCTGCGGGCTGCAAGCTGCGTTTCGGGGCAGCTAAGGGTCCGGGGAGCAGCGGCATCGGTGTATCTTTGCTCCCCCAGGCGCGGGCGAGGAGGAGGAGGCCGCGCAGGTGACGGTGCCGGTGGCGACGGCGCTGCGCCGGAGCATGGGCCACCCAGGCAGCGCCCTGGACCTTGCCCTGGTGCGCGCACTGCGCCACGTGGCCGCCGCGTGCCTGCGCAAGCTGGCCCACGACGAGGAGTTTTGGTAGCGACTCCTGGGCGCCTGGTGTGTCCCCCGCTTCCGCCATTCAGGGTCAACGATAGGAGGTGGGCTAGGCATAGGGGCATGCATCGACCCCCAATTCGCCCACTGATCGCCGTCAGGGGCCCAAGCGCCCCAACCTGCCCAGAAAGGTGCGGATTCACCATCGGGTGCCTATCGCCGATCTACTGGCGATGTATCGCCGATCCCAGGTCCATGCTCCCCCCCCAGGCATATCCCCCCCTCATCGTTGCCCCCTCATCCCTCCCTCCCTCCCGGGCAGGTTCCCCACTCCCTGCCTCCCTCCCCGCCTTCCCGCGTCCTCGTCCTCCGCGTCCTCCCGTCCCTCCCTCGCCCCATCGCCGAGGGGGTCCTCCCCTGCTGAGGGACGTCCCGCCAGCGGAGCGGGTTCGGCCCGCTGGGGGAGGGGGAAGGGGAGGGCTCGGCAGCAAGTGATGGGCGCCTGGGGCGTCCTCGAAATTCCGTCCTGCGTGCATTCGCGTGCGCTGGCGTCTGGGGATCGATGGAAGGGCGCCGAATTGGCATCGATGAGCGTCGATGTCGCGTCGAATAGGCGTCAAGTGAGCGTCAGCGAGCGTCGTCTCGCAGGGGCCAGCAAGCTGGCATGGGAGGCTCCCACGAGTTGCCACCGAAGAGGAGGCGAGCGCGGGCATCTCGTACGAGGTCGTCTGCCTGGCGCAGGGGTGCTCCGAGGAGGGCGAGCCGAGACGGCGGCAGTTGGCCTGCGGGGGGATGGGGGGGGGCGAGGGGGGAGCCCTCGCCGCCGGGGCGAGCGGCAGCTCGGACACCGCGTGCGCTGGGGCCCCCCGGGTGAAGGGTCGCGGGGGCCGACTCTGCGCTGGGGGCACGACAAGGCACCGACCCACCGCTGCTCCCCGGACCTCTCCCGGGGGTGCGCGCTCGGACCAGGACGTCGAGGCGCGAGCCCAGCGGTGGCGACGAGGGGCCTCCCGGGAGGCCGAGGCGGGCGGGGGAGCGATAATTAGGGGAACGCGCAGCGGTGTGGGCATACCCTTCCTCCCCGGACGAGCCGCTCCCGGCCTCGGCTCGCCTTGCTCCGAGGTACGGGGGCGTGGAGGACTTCTGCCGGCGCGTGGTCCTGCCCATGGGCACGGAGGCGGAGGGCGTGGTCCTCGGCGCGCTGCCCGCGGCCCTGGGCGTCGGGCTCCGGGTCGTGCTCCTCGACCGCCGCGGCTCGAAGGACGTCCCCCTCTGCGACTACAACATGCCCGCGGGCGCCCCGGAGAGCGGGGCCGTGGCGGCGCCGGTGGTGCACCTGCAGCTCCGGCCTGGGCACTACGACCTGCTCTATTTTGGGGAGGAGTGCGCCGACGGCGCGGAGGTGCAGTCGGAGGAGGGGGAGGGGGAGGAGGATCGAAGATGAAAAAACGCCATAAACATAAACGTTCGGCGCTCCGCACGGATATCTTGGGTCCGCGCTGGGCCGCCCCCGGCGCGCTCGGCGCGCCAGGGAGGGGGGTCCAGCGCAGATCCAGGAACTCCGCGCGGGGCGCCACAAGTTTGTGGCTGTGGCGTTGTTTCCTTCCTCTAGAGGAGGAGGACGGCGAAGAAGAAGAGGAGCCTGTCCATCGGCTGCCGTCCCTCGGCGGCAGCGACGGCTTCGAGTGGCACAGGAAGCTGCTGCACATGGACGTGCACGAGTGCTACGGGAGCTGTGCCAAGACCGGGTGCCTCTGACTCGTCTGCGCATGCCTCTGCCGCTCGTGCGCGCGGGGGCAGGAGGGACAATTAGGGCGACGAGGGAGGGAGGGAGGGAGGGAGGGAGGGCGACGAGGGAGGGAGGGAGGGAGGGAGGGAGGGAGGGAGGGAGGGAGGGAGGGAGGGAGGGAGGGAGGAGGAGGAGGAGGAGGGGGAGGAGGAGGAGGAGGAGGGAGGAGGGAGGAGGAGACCTCTGCCCCTGCCTGCTCAGACTTCCAGGCGCAGATGGTCTCGCCTGCCTGAATCGGCGCGCGCGCTCAACGCAGACGCACGCCCGCCCGTTTCACCGAAGAGGCAGTCACAACCCGCGCCCGCGATAAGAGGTCTCGGTGTCATCGGAAAAGTCATGGGCACATATTCGACTCAGCGTTGACGGGCCCCCTCTGGGAGGGAGGAGGAGGAGGAGGAGGAGGAGGAGGACGAGGAGGAGGAGGAGGAGGAGGAGGAGGAGGAGGTAGGAGACGGGAGGAGCAGGAGGAGGATGAGGATGAGGAGGAGGAGGAGAAGGAGGAGGAGGAGGAGGAGGTGCATCTTCCCGTATGACTGACTGACTGCGGCCTTGCATCCCTTACAGACGCGTAGGCGTATTAAAAAGTTCGGCATTCATGCGTGACGTCACAAGACAGCTATGCTTCGATACACAGAGGCTGCCCATTGCTGTCTGGGGCGCCCCCGGCGTCTGCGGTCAGCCCAATTTTTGGGCGTGCCTCACGAGCGACCCGCCGGTCTCAGAAGCAATTCTCCGGTAGAGTTGCACTTGCCGCTCACGTAAGATTGAGGACAACGGTTGTGATCCAGCTCTCTCCAGTACGTTCACGTTACTGACGCGCGAGATGTAAGAATGTGGGATCCTTAAAATGCGGCGCAAACATTTGCAGTGGAATGCGTCGAGCCTGTCTCTGTCGTGCTCGAGAAGCCACAGCGAATCCAACGAGTACAACAGTTTGCTGAGCACGCAGCTGTTGTATATGAGTATCTTGCGTCGCCAACCAACCGCGGAGTGTGTCCACAATTTAGTAAGTTGTTGGAAAAACACCTCTGCCTTCTCCAAGTCGTCTCGAAAGTTCACTGCCAACGCGTCCGTCATGGGTTACGAGCCCCCCCAAATAAATAGCTTCCTTGACAATCTTGATCGGATCCCCATCCGGCGATCTCACAAAGCCAACAGAACCGATTTGAAGTTGCACCGTCTTGTCCCAATTCAATTCCAATCCGTACTTCCGCCCCTCTGCCACAATTGCGTCCAGCATGATCGGTAGGTTTCCTTCATGTTGAGATACCAACGCAGTGTCGTCGGCGTACAGAATATCCCTAGAGACCACACAGCCTGGATCGTGTTGAAGGCACAGGTCCGACAGAGCGTCCTGAAGCATCACCGTCTGCACAATAATAAATAAATACGGTGACAACGGGCATCCCTGTGCAATACCGGCAGCTTGGCGTCGTTGCGAAGATTTACCACAATGGTCTAGTATAGTGAAATACCTGCGCGAATAAATTCCTCTGACCATTTGCACGAAAGGTTGCGGTAGCCCAAACCTTGTCAAAGCTGCGCACAAACACTCTGGCTTCAATCGGTCGAACGCCTTGGCCCAATCAAGGAGAAGCAAAATAATACCTTCGTTCTTATTCATCAGCGTTGCGTCGATCATGCGCGAGCATGAGCGCGTCGGCGGTGCCCCGGCGAGGCCGGAATCCAAACTGTGAGTGTCGTAATCGATCTTCTGCACCTCCTTGAAGCAGTCGCTGATGCAACATCGCCGCGAGGGCTTTGTATCCCACCGAGAGCAACGAGATCGGACGATAGTTGTGCTTGAAAAAGTTGCGTTTCCTTTCTTGAAAAGCAAGATGACATTCGCCATGCGCCATTTTTCCGGTATGCCTTTCTGGGACCAACACCGTTGACAAACGTGCAATAGTGCTTGGCAAGCGTGTACATCTGTAGATACAACCTTCCAAACATCTGGTGGTACGTCATCAGGGCCGGCTGCTTTTCCGTTCTTCATCTTTCTCAACACGAAATCAGTTCGTTCAATGTAAGTTGACGCACGTATATGGACAACTCTGTACCAAGAGGGCGGGTAGCTGTAGGAACCACCTCTGGGAAAGTAACTTGCCACTGCACTTTCTCGAAGTAGTCGGCCAAAGCATCCGGACGGCTCGCGGTATCGGTCAAGCTGTTGTTCAAGTCCCTGTCTCCAGCTTGCTTTGTCTGAGGCTTCTGCCGTAGCTGTTTGACTGCGTCCCAGTTCCCCCCCACCAGAGAATCGTTCATCCAAGTTGTGCGGTCAGCCCGCGCTGCCTTCCTGATCGCCTTTTTGAGAGAGCTCTCGTTGCGAGCGTCGCCCATTCGCCTGAAATTGTTATTTTGTTCGATGAGGTCCAAAGTAGCCTGCGATATCCAAGGTCGCCGGGCCGGCTGAGCCCTGCGAGGCAACGTATCTGCAGCAGCACCAAACGCATCTTCGATTTGCTCCGCAGCTTCGTCAAGAGAACAACTTGCAACGCTAAAAGATTGCCACTTGCTGTAAAAACGCTTCGTGAAATCGATCTGCAAGGCCGGGTCCCGCACCGAAGCTTTGTCGACATAGGTTCGTGTATGTGCCGCCGAAGCCTGAAATTGTAAGCCAAATTCCGCCGTCAACAAATAATGGTGGCTGTTCAGAGCAACGCCCCGGTGCGTTCTGCAGAGCTTCACCCAAGGAAGCATAGAGGTATGACAAAGCACATGGTCGATCTGAGCGAACTTATCTGGCAAAATATCGTCGTCCATTGGGGCCACGCCAAGATCTCTGTATGTAACTCGCTGATCGTCCGGAATGTCAAAAAAACGTATTCGCAATAACCATGTCCGTAGCGACACAATGTTCAAGCAGAAGTTGTTTGTTTGATGTGCTTGTCAAATTTACGGAACTATGAAGAGAATCAGCAAGAAAGAGATGTGGACCAATGTATTGCTCTTCGCCGGGATGTTGCTGGAGTAACTTGGCGTTGAAGTCGCCCAATACAAACGTAGTGCTGTGTTGTGTCGTCGGCCGTATTGTTTCCAGCAATTCTGCGAAGAAAGACTGGCGGACATCGTAATCGTACTTGCTCTGTGGGGCGTAGGCCGACACGACCGTCAAAATGCCATGTTGCACTCTGATTCGTAAAGACGCCAATCGTGGTGATACCGCCCGGAACGCTACTATAGCAGAACGGGCCCATGGAGCAACGATGAAGCCGACCCTCGCTACAGAACGTTTTGCATCGTCAGGCTCCCCAGATAAGCAAACCATAAACCCATCGTAATCGTAATACTCGGAACCGTGTAATTGAGTCTCCTGTATGGCCAAGACGGCGATGCGATGGGCAGCCATTGATACAGTTACTTCAGACAACTTGACATATGAATCCCCACGGAGGCCTTCGACATTCCAAGTGCCAAACATCTGCGTGCGAAGTGGTTGACATTCTCGTCGAGGCTGGAACCACGTGTGCAGTCGCGTGGAAGAGTGAGACAATGAAGCTGGACAAATGGAGGAAGAAATCGTAGCGCAAGGAGTTGGGGAAATAGAGGATGAAGATGAAGATGTACAAACAGATGAAGCATGTAGGTGTAGCGGCCTGGTATCTTTGCCCGTGCCTGCTGTAGAAAATGAGTGCGGCTCCGTAGCTGAAGGCGTAACGGTATCTTTGCCCAAGAGACGCCCAATATTAGGAACAGCATGTTGAAAAAGATGTGGTCCATCGCTGCGGGCTCTCATGCCAGGCTGGACTGTACCTGACAGATGCCGCGTTTCCTAATGCCCTTTCGATTTCCCCTTCGGCTGACCCTTCATGCCGCCAAGGGACCGAGTAAGTAAAGCACTGCATTTATCTTCCAGCTCCTTGAGGCCTTCGTGTTCTTGGAGTTCCTTCCAACTGGCCCATGTGTCGGCCCACTCCTTCTTCACGGTATTGCGGGCCACCGTCACTGTAAGAGCGGGCTCTCCGCCCACGCTGACCTCGTACGGAGAGGAGTCCGTGATTTTGATGATATAAGGGAGCTTGAAAGTGTCCTTCAACAGGTACTTCAGTCCGAAGCAGTAATTGCGTGCCGCGCGCTCCAATGGCGGCCTGTCGGGTGACGCCCAGATATCCTTACCATTATGTTGAAGACGGGTGCTCCTGATAAGTGCCACTTCTGTGTCACGATCTGTCGTATCCGAAAACTCCGCGAACAGAATGTTGGTGGAGTCCCTTTTCATGTACATGCTATGGGGTAAAGGGCCACCACACTGCGATAGCTGATCGCGCAACCATGCGGAGGCCGTATGCGTCATAGTGAACCCATCCAGATTCCCAAAGACACTTGTAACAGAGCGCTTGTCGTTCGGATCGTGAGGAACTCTGGGACCACCTTGGCGTCTGAGTTGCTGAACTTCACGTTCTAAAGCTTGCAGTTTCCCGAATGTGCTTGTGCCAATGCTCGCTTCCGACCCTGTCCTTGCAGATGGACCTGGAGTAGGCGCTCGCGAAGCATCCCGCGACTCCAGGATCTCCAGACGCGTCGTGATGTCGTCGATGGCGCTGGAAATGGGAGCACCCTTAGCATCAAGATCTGCACGCGAGACTCCATGCGTTTTGATCGCGTTTATGTCCTGGCGTATGGGGTCAAGCTGTTCCTTGAGGATCTCTCTGAAG